TCCACAGGGTCTCCCCTCCCAGACCCCAGAAGGGCCTTTGCCCAACTGTCCGGTGCCTTGGTTGCGATGCGTCCTCTCTCGTTGTGGTTAACTTCTCACCCTCCCTGACTCCTGCAGACGTCCTCTTGCTCCCCGGCCCCACTCCATCCTTCATGGCCCTCACTCTGCGGGTGATTTGTGATTCTGGTCCATGGCTGGGTGTGAGTTTCCTGTGGCTGCCGTGACAAGTGGCACACACCGGGAGGCTTCACCCAACGGACACGTACTCGTGCTCAGTTTAGAGGGCAGAGGTCTGAAATCAGCGTGTTGGCAGGGCCACGCTCCCTCTGGAGGCTCTCGGGCAGGACCCTTCCTGTCTTTTCCAGCTTCTGGTGGCTCTTAGCTTGTGGCTGCATCCCTCCAGGCTCTGTCTGCTCACGTGGCCTTCTTGCTCTGTGTCTGAGTCTCAAATCTCCCTCTTCCTTTCAAACCCAAAGATCTGTCATTGGATTTAGGGTCACCCTAAATGCAGGATGATGGAGATCGTTTACTTAATTACATCGGCAAAACCCCTTTTCCCAAGTAACGTCCCATTCGTAGCTTTCAGGGGTTAGGAGGTGGACTTTTCTTTTTGGGGAACCACTATTCACCCCACCTACTGGACCACAGGCTCCATGGTAAGTGTCCACTTTGGCTCACCCTGCACCAGGCTCAGTGCCCAGCCGAGGTGGCTGTCACTTCTGGCCGTCTGTTCAATGTCAAGTCCCGAGCGAGCTCTTGTGAGGGAACCTAAATATGTTTGTGAGCAGAAGCAGCTTTCGAGGAAGCTGCACCTCTGCCAGGAGAGATAAGACACCTCCTCCCACAGCTGCAAGTCAAGGTGAGAGGAGATGGGGCCCAGGACCACGGGTGGAGGCTGGCAAGGAGCCCAGGCGCCCAGCTGGGTGGGTGGGGATGGGGGAGGCACCTGCTGAGCTGGGAGGCAGGTCCCCTGGCTGAGGGTGTGGACGGGCCTCCGGGTGTGTGCAGACGTTGGGTTCTAGGTGGGAGGTTGGAGTCTGCATTGTAAAGGGCCCCAGATGCCCAGAGAAGGAACATTCCGGAGTTCTGGGGACCATTTAGGAGTTTGTGGGTCAGAGCGACAGAGCCTGAGTCGCAGGGCACAGAATCAACCTGGTGGGGCCGGAGGGAGGGAGGGTGAGGCAGGGTGGTTGGGAGCAATCCTGCGGGGTGGGGAGGGTCCCAGCTCACTCCGGTTTGAAAACTGGGGTCCTGCGTTCTGGGAGCCCCTCAGCCTGGGGCAGACTGGGCTGGCCTGGGATGGGGGAGTCATTCTCCGAGAATCTGCCCCTTGTGCTCCCTGGGGACTCAGGTTCAGGCTTCTCCCACGTCTGGACCCCGCCCCCCACCCCCAGGGGCCAGCAGCGCAGTAGGTGCCCCGGGCCGGTGTTGGGTGGAGAACGGAGCAGGCCGTGGCACTGATGCCCGTTTTGTTCTGAGGCTCTCTCTGGACCGGGAAGCGAGTGCACTTCCTGAGGAATTTCGTGTCTTTACAGTAATCCTGCAGACAGGGGTCATCAGCCCCGTTTTACGGGAGACGGAGGCCCGGAGGAGCTGCGCCCTGAGCTGGTTGCTGGGCAGAAGGACTTGGCCCCCGGCTCCTGGCGGACTCCAGGCTCCGCCCCCTTTCGGAGGGTCCGCACCTCGGCTCCGCGGCGGCGGGGACTCTGAAGGGCAGAGGCAGGGTCTGCAGAGCAGGGCCGGTCAGGTGTTTCCAGGGCAAAGCCGAGGGTGAGGGCTGCCCTCGCTCATGGTCTCCTGGGTAAACGTGAGGAGTGAGTGGCCCTGCTTCCTCCTTGGAGGCCAAGGGCAGGGTGGGAGGGGAGCAGCAAAGGAGATCTCCGAAAGGGGGTTGAGGCCCGAGGCCCTGAGAGCAGACGCCCCAAACACAGGCCCAGGGGCCCAGGATCAGGAGAGCTGCCCGTTTCCCACCCTGCGGGGTGGCCGTCTGCTGCCCCGTCCTGGGCTGGGCTCCGGGGGTCGAGCTGCCGACAGCACCAGCACCCCAAGCCCGGGGCAGGAGCCCTCCCCCCGCTCAGCTGGGGGCTCTGGCTTCTAGCTGCCCCAGCACCTGCAGCGTTTCCAGAGGAGGGGGGCAGGGGACGAGGGGACGAGGGGCTGGTTAAGAGAGGAGCCCTTGCCCCTTCCCGGACCTCCTGAGCCAGAAAGCTGTTGTTGGACATTTTTTTCTGTAAACAGCTGTCAGATGGCAGCAGGACGCGACAGGGGACTTTGGGGTAGGAGGAAGTGACGGGATGGGAAAATGCCAGGGTGCCCCCGGGACTTGGAGGGGTGCGGGGACAGCCCCCTGCTCTGCCTGAAGGTGGCACTGGCCCTGTGTCTGTCCAGGGCTGGTGCTCCCAGAGCTGTGGCAGCACCAGGGAGTTCCTGTTGGGAGGGGGTCGGTCACGTGATCTGATGAATTCCATCTGTTCCATTCGCTCACATCCCTTTGTCGGTGGGTGTTTTGGGCTTAAAGGACCTGGAGGGAAGGGGAGACCTGAGAGCGGCTGCCCGGCTGGACGGTCCTGGGTTTGAGTCCTGACTGGGCCACTGTATGTTGTGGGCACGGTACCAAGGCTCCCTGACCTCAGGGTCCTGAAAACAACAGGGCGAGCGTTAGTGCTCCCTCCAGTACCCGCTGGTGTTGAGAGCATTGACCCATGCCCAGCGGGCAGTTAGGAGGAGGGGTGGGATGCCTCTGACCCAGTGGGGCCTCAGGTCTTTCTAGAGAACAGACGGGATCCCCAGGGCAATATCAGAGCCAGGCGCCGGCAGGGAGTGACACTCTGCTCAGGCCACTTAACCCCTGGTTGCAAAGGCCCTGATACTGGGACGGGGGGTGGGGGGTGGGGGGGGCAGTGCAGCTGAAGCTGGCTGGGGCAGGTGTCTCAGCCTGGCTGCATTCGAATCACCTGGGAGCCTCAAAAATCCTGATGCCCAGGCCACATCCTAGATCACCTGCATTAGGATCTCTGGGGTGGGGTGGCATCAGGCTTAATTTTTTTTTTTTAATAACTGTGGTTAAGATATACATAGTAAACTTTACCATCTTAACCTTAAGTGCACAGTTTTGTAGTGAGTACGTTAACTCTGTTGTGCAACCAACGCATCTCCAGAACTTTATCATCCTCTGGAACTGAAACTCCAGGCCCATTAAGCAACTTCCCGCTCCCCCTCCCCCAGCCCCTGGCACCACCATCTACTTTCTGTCTCTGTGACTTTCACTTCTTTAGGAAACTCATGAGTGGAATCAAACAGTATTGGCCTTTTGGTGACCGGCTTCTTCCACTCAGCTTGATGTCCTTAAAGGTTCACGCGTGCTGTAATATACGTTAGAATTTCCTTCCCTTTTAAGGCTGAATGATATCCCACCGTATGGCGGGATATATATATCATCTACCCGTATGGGTGGACTACACTGTTTACCCACCCATTCAGCGCTGATGGACACTTGGGTGGTCCAGGCTTCTGGGTTTTTCAAGCTCCCAGGTGTTCCCGAGGTGCAGGTCTGGTGGAGGGCCAGTGGGCATGGCAAGCCCCTGGCTCCCTGGAGGACACGTCACTCCTGGCTTCCCTGCCGGTGGTAGTTTCTGCTGTTATCAAGCCCAAACAGAGCTTCAGGAAGCTCCCTTCCCCCAACAGACACCCCTGCAGGGCCTGCTGCCCAGGTGGTGCCACCCACTGAACTGGAGCACTCCTCCTGCGGATGCGAAGCCCCTCCGTGTGGCTCCGCCTACGCCAGGCCGGTCCTGTGATTACAACACAGGCCAGGCCAGCGGGTCACACGCACGCTTGTTGGGGGGGGTCTCCAGCCTCACACGCATCGGTCCCCTGCTGGAGCTCCTTTTCTCCACCTGTAAAACTCGGAACCCGCTCTTCGCCTGTCCTCAGTCCCCCCTCCCTGCCCGTCTGCTGGAGACCTCCTCCTTCTCCAGCAGAACCCTTCTCCCCACCCGTGGGGAGCGTGAAAGGAGCCTAAGGAATCTACGCTTACAAACCAAAACTCAGTACACATGGTCCGACGTTATTTTAATAAGCGAGTGGGCAAGAAAAGTTATTCCTTGGTTCACTAATTTATTCAATAAACGCTTTGTGTCAGGCACCGGGCTACAGTAATTTGATAGACATGATCCCTGACTTCATGGAAGGAATTTCGGGGGGCATTCACCTAATACCACAGTAATATATGCCCAGCCGTGCCGTGCCTCTCCAACAGAATCTGTTGCAAGGAACAGAGCTGAAAGTCCCCCACCTTCACGTCCACGCTCTCCCGGGGCTGCTCCCAGCCCCCGGCTGAGCGCGCGGGGACACACTGGCGCTGAGCCATCGCTGCCCGGCGCAGGCCTCCTTCAGCCGGCACTCCCTGGGGACGCCCCATCAGCCCGGCTCGGGTGGGATTCAAACACCGGCGCGAACATCCCGCGGCCCCGCCCACACCCTCCCGGCAGAAGGCCTCGCCCTTTCCGTGGGGGCGGGGACGGGCCCGACCAACCAGAGTTCCCAGAACATGCAAATCAGCTCCGTCCCCCAGGTGAGCGTGTTTTCCCAGACTCCTCTGCTTCTTCTGTGGCGAAACACAGCCCCGGTGGGGCCCGACGGCGCGCGCCCCCGACAGCCCGCACCCCCGAGCACACGTCTCCGACAGCGCGCGCCCAGCGCCGGCGCTCGTTCGTCCTCACATCGGGAGCGAAGCGGGAGGTGGACGCCCTGGCGCCCTGCTAGAGGCGCCAGAAGCCCCTGAGGGAGGCGCGCGCCCGCCGGAAGCCGCGCCCCCGACGCGGCCCACAGCCCGAGGCGCCGGAAGTGGTCGCGGTCGCGCTGCTTCCGGTCTGCGGGAGGCGCTCCGGGCGGGGGCCGCGGGGGAGGCGAGCTGCCGACTGGCCGAAGGCCGGCACCCATGGCGGAGGGCGGCGGGCGGGCCGGACCTGGGCCCGCAGGTAACGTGCGCGCGGCCGCCGGGCCCCGGGGCGGCGGGGGGGCCGGGGCGGCTGCCCGGGCCGGGGCCCTGCGTGTTGCCCTGCGGCCGGCCGGGGCCCACGGAGCCGCGCCCCGCAGCCGGGGGTCGGTCAGCGCGGCTCATGGGATGCCCGGCTGTCCGGCTTCGCGAGACCAGCCCTCGCGCCGATTTCCCCTCCTGTGGAACTTGCACCGTAACTGCCAGCCGGCTGGCCTCTAGGGCTGGATGGGACCCCCAGCTGTAAAGAGAGGACGTGGGTCATCCTCCAGCTGTGAGCGCAGCGGTCGGGAGAGCCCCCAGAGGTCAGCTCCCGGGAGGGCGGGTGCCTTCTCTCCATCCTGGCATCCGTTCCCCTCAACAACCGCCCCCCTCCCCGCACAGGCCAGGGACAGCGATAACGCCACCCCCAGCGAGCTGTCAGTGACACAGCAGGTCCAGGGGCCCTTGCCCACCGGCAGAGGAGGCAGCCGTGCCATAGTTCGGTTTAGGCGGCTCGAAAGCCTCGCGCCCAAAATAGCCATCTGACTGAGGGTCTCCACCTTGAAATATTCCTGCCAAACAAACGTGAATTTGCGGGGACGTGTGTTTGCCCGCCTTCGGGAGAGGCTTCCTCTTAACCTGCGGGGTCGGGGGGTGGGCGGAGGTGCCCTCCTTGTCTGTTGTCTCAGTTTTCCCCGGGTACCAAATGCTTCTATGTGCTCTGGACTTTACACGCTCATCTGTGTCTCTGGAGAGATACCCCTCCAAAGAGTTTATTAGTTAGTAATAAACTAAGGAGCTTATTACTCTTAAATGTGCCAAAACTTAAGGTATAATGTTGTTTTGGAGACGGGTGCAAGTAGTGCCTTTCATCCCTCCCTCCATCCATTCATTCATCCAACAAACGGTTTATTGAGGACCTGCTATTGGCTGGACCTGGCTGGGGGTGGGGATACTGCAGTGAATAAAAATACAAACAAAGCCTCTTCTGTCCTGGGCTTTGGTTGGTATTGACTTTGACCGCAGGGGCAGCCAGGACCTTAGGGTCTGGGACATCACTTCATGGGAGAGTGCGGGAGGGACTGAGAGGTGTTCACCTGGGGGAAGAGGACTGGCAGCTGCTTCCCAGCGTGGAGAAGAGTCTTGTGGCAGGAAGACTGGCTCTGCCTTTCGCAGAGGCACTCTTGTCAATATCCAGGCGGTGCTGTTTTACTGTTGAGTGTGTTGCAGGCCTGGGAGTAGAGGGGCCACAGTTAAAGCTTAAGTGCTGTGTCGAGTAATTGTGTTGTCATTGGAGAAGCTGATCAGGAAAATGCAAACTTAAAGATATCTTGGAGCTGGAGCTGGGGGAGAGGAGGCTGTGTTGAGCTGGGCAGGTAGTGGGTCAAAAAGGGGCCAGCGAAGGGAGGCCTAGAGGAGAACTTAGCAAAAGTTTGTCAGAGTCTCCTTACACCTTCTGAATCTTACCCCTACTTTGAACTTTTTCAGCCTGTGCAATGAAACTGTGGGATAACTACAGTGGAGGATAACTACCGAAGGAGCATTGGCATGGGGGCCCAAGGGGTCCTTGATGCCTGCCTGTTCATCTGCTGCAGATCTGGCTGTGGCATGAGCTCGAGTGACCCATGCGTTTGTGAACCCTCACTGCTCTGCCCACCTGCCTGTGGCCTTTGTGTCTTACCTCTGCCATTGAACTATCAAATCGTGGAGTGTAAGGAAACGTACGCATCACCCCTGTTGTCCTATGGCCCAGCCTTGTATACAGTAGGTACTCAAAAGAGATTTGATTTGAATATAAAAAGCAACTTCAGCATTGGAGAGAGTCCACCACTAGGACAGCTGGCACGGTGGGGACTTGAATGAAGGCCGTCTGAGTTCATGCTCTTTCCTTATGCCCCTCTCTGTGCAATTATGTTTATAAAGAGATATTCTGGGCTCCAGTGTGAGGTGAAGAACTCAATTACAGTTGACCCTTGACAACACAGGGGGTGGGGGTTGCCAAACCCCTGCACAGTCAAAAATCCCCATAAAACTTTACAGTTGGTCCTCCATGTTCGAGGTTCTGCATCTAAGAATTCAGCCAGGGACTTCCCTGGTGGGTCAGTGGTTAAGAATCCGCCTGCCAATGCAGAGGACACGGGTTCGAGCCTGGTCCGGGAAGATCCCACATGCCGCGGAACAACTAAGCCCGTGTGCCACAACTACTGGGCCTGCGCTCTAGAGCCCGTGAGCCACAACTACCGAGCCCACGTGCCACAACTACTGAAGCCCGCGCGCCTAGAGCCTGTGCTCTGCAACAAGAGAAGCCACCGCAGTGAGAAGCCTGCGCACAGCAACGAAGAGTAGCCCCCGCTAGCTGCAACTAGAGAAAGCCCGCGCAGCAACAAAGACCCAGTGCGGCCAAAAATAAATAAAATTAAAAATTAAAAAAAAAAAAAGAATTCAGCCAACTGCGGATTGTGTAGTGTAGTATGTATTTAGTGAGAAAAATCCATGTGTGAGTGGACCCACATAGCTCAGACCATGCTATTCAAGGGTCAGCTGTAGGTATCTAATGGTACAAATTTGTTGACTACAGTTGACTGCTGAACAGCTTGGGGGTTGATCTGCATGTAACTTATAGTCGGTCCTCTGCATCCGAGGTTCCTAGGCATCTGTGGATTCAACCAGCCACAGATTGTGCAGTATTGTGCTGTTTACTGTTGAAAATATCTACGTGTGAGTGGACCCCTGCAGATGAAACCTGCGTTGTTCAGTGATCAATGGTACTTGTTCTAGTCCATTCAGGATGTAATAACAGAATAGACTGGATGGCTTATAAACAACAGAAATTTATTTCTCACAGCTCTGGTGGTTGGAAAGTCTAAGACTAAGGCACTGGCAGATTTGATGTCTGGTGAGGGCCTGCTTCCTGGTTCCTAGGCGGCTGTCTTCTCACTGTGTCCTCACGTGGTGGAGGGGGTGAGGGAGCTCTCCAGGGTCTCTTTTGTAAGGGCACTCATCCCATTCATGAGGGCTCCACTCCCATGACCTAAAGGTCCTACCTACTAAAGGTCCTGCATCTTACTAATCACCTTGGGGGTTAGGACTCCCAGCATATTATTTGGCCGGACATTTTGGGGGACACAAACATTCAGTTTATAGCAGCTACTCCTCCCATTCCTCACTGATTTTGTTGCCCATTTCTCACGTACCAAGTTTTTTATACTAAGCTCTTTTCTGGGCAGTTGATTGTTTGATTTATTTATCTTTTTATTCTGATGAGAGAGAATTTCTATTATCTAGTAGGATAGATCTCTTCTCATACATACAAAAAAAACAAAAAGTGATTCTTATTTTTATTTCCAAATAAACTTCTAGAAGATTTTTGTCACATCTCATATAAAAACCCCAAAGAGATTTGTTAAACCTCTTAATTTATTTGGTATCACTTAAAATTTTCCTAGCATTGACTCTCACTCAAGTACATGGTATGGTTTTCACCATTTATTCTGGTCTTTATTGTTTTTCTGTTTTCTATCTTCATTATATAGGGCTGGCTTTCTATTTGGATGCATGTATCTAAAAATCTTCCTTTTTACTGCGGTGCAGCTTATATTCAGAAAAGTACACCCGTCTTAGGTTACCATCAGATGTGTCACTCCCGGGGACTCCCGCGTGGCGAGGCCATTGCCCAGATCGCGCGGCAGGGTCATTCAGGTTTACAAGCAGCAGCGTGTCTCTGGCTGTTGAGTTTTGCCAAAGTCAGGTGTCCTTTTGTAACGTGGTAGCTGATTATATGTTTTTTCCCAATACTAAGACATTCTTGGAAGAAATTAGAGTAATTTTATGGTGCCTTTTCTGATACATATTTAAAATTTCACTTTATTAATATTTTATTTAGGATCTTTATCCTTAACTAGTTTTGGCTTATTATCACCCACCCCATCAAAGTGTTAAAACCTTGCCAGGTTTGGTGTCAGGAGTGTGCTAGCTTCATTAAGGGAAACTTTTTACAGTTTCCTGGCTCTGGAAGCTTCTGGAGCAGGGGAATGATGCGTTCTTGAGAGTTGGAGAGCACCCGTGTTGGGGAGAGGCAGGGCTGGCGGCCGAGGGCGGCCCCTCACAGTTGGTGCTGGCAAGGCTTCCCTGAGCTGACAGGCGCCCCTCTCTTCAGTGCAGGTCCGAATCTGAAGGAGTGGCTGAGGGAGCAGTTTTGTGACCATCCGCTGGAGCATTGTGAGGACACGAGGCTCCACGATGCAGCCTACGTGGGGGACCTCCAGACCCTCCGGAGCCTGCTGCAGGAGGAGAGCTACCGGAGGTGAGCGCCGCTGCCCGCCCCGGGGCTGCCCAGGGTTTGGCCTGTGGGTCTGCACGCAGCTAAGGCTCGGGAGCTGTGAGGGAGGCCCAGCGGTCTCCGATTTGCAGGTGGACACCCTGAGCGTTTCCACTTTCCGAGGATGGGATAAAAGGGGACTGCCGGAAGCGTGGTCAGACTTGTAGGCGACAGCCTGATGGCGAGGGCAGAGAGACCCGAGTTCAAGTCCAGTTCTGTCACCTTTATATTTTCCAGCAACTTCTGGTGCTCTCTGGGCGTCAGCTTCCCTGACGTTACCCTCGACGACAGCGTCATTACTGTCTCCAACAGCGGCCCTGCTCCCTTGCGAGTCTCTTCTGGCTCTTTATCCTAAGGCGCATGCATAAATTCTCCTCACTTAATTATTGCATCGTTATCCCCCTTTGGGTCCGGACTTCCTGATGGAGCAAACCTGTACAGAGTTCCTGACGCGCTCTCCTCTGGCTTCTCAGGGCCTCAGTCATCTGCCTCCGGGGCCTGGGGCTCAGCCTCTGGCCAGCTGTCTCATTACCCAGGGACCATGCTCCTTTTGTTGGTAGCGCCCTGCCTGTTGCCTTGCCACATCCTGCTAGCTCCTCCAGACCGGCTTAAGCCCCTCATGGCATCGGAGTCTTGCTGTTACTTTTCCCCACTCGAGACACCCGGGGAGCACAGAGACTCTGCCTGTTCTCCGTGTGTCTAAGATTGGAGTCTCAAGTAGACTTGAAACTCAGCTGCAACCAGAAAATCCTTCAGGCTCTTTCTGTGTTTCTGTTTCCCCTCCAGGGCTAGGATGCCAGTGAGTTGATAGAAGAAATGCCTGTGTATTGATACTGAAACTTATACCACTTTTCGTGGACAGTTCCCAAGAGAAGGATTTCTAACAATACAAGAATAGGTGTCTTTCTTCTTTCCCTTCTAATGTCTTAGCATTATTTCATTAGAATAGATATTCATGTTAAAAATAAAAAAGCTCCAAAGAGCCAGAAAGGATCGTCATAAAGAGAAATGAGGCGGATTGCACATGAATATTTAACACGAATGACTCAAGTCCAAAGAAAACCTTAAATTTGCAGATATAACAGTAGAATAGAGTTAAGCTACTAAAATAGACCAAGTATGTTCATATTGCTTTTTCAAGTACCGTTTTTCTTTCTTTCACTCAGGTTCAGTGAATCTCTGGTTTCTTGACGATATTTTGCTCTTGCTATGTAGTTCTTTGGTGATGAGTCCTTGGAGCGTTCCTTGGCCTCCTTGGCTAGTGGAAGCTAGTAACCAGCTGAAGGAGGAACCCTGACCTGTTGCATGTTTCTGGGTCACTGCTTTAGTGATCTGTATTCCTCAGCTTTGTTCAGAGCTGCGCTGGGAGCTTGAGGTGAAGAGCCTCAGCTGGTGACATGATGGGTCCGTGCATTGCATGACCCTGGCATCCCTTGATGGGGGAGTTGTGGCCTGAGTGTCACTTGCAATGAGGGCTGAGCCTGGACGGTTTCCCTCTGCTGCTGCTGGCCAGGAGTGTGGTGGTTCCTGCAGGCTGTCCTTTGTGCTGTGTCAGAGGTAGAGGGACCACAGTGGTCATCTAGCCCCAGTGAGGATACCGAGGCCCAGAGAGCGGTCCAGCCTCAGGCCTTCACAGGTAGTAGCTGGTGAAGAGGGGCGTTGGGGCCCTGACCCAGGTCCCGAGCAGGTATGCTGTCCTCCATCCTGCACTGCCTCCCGGGCAGGCCCTTCTCCCCTTCGTGGAGCAAAGAGCTTTGGACGCGAGTCAGGAAATTGGAGATCTTAACTCTAGTGCTCAGTAGTTTTACCTGCGCCTCGAATCTCCTCATCTGTAGGACTGGGCTCGTAATTTATTGCCTGTCTTGCCTCAGGCGTGGACCCAGCAGGGTGGCTATGTGAAAGCATTTCATGAAACGAGCACCTGGAAGCACTATTAAAGCGAAGGCTGCCCTCCTGCTCCCTGTCTCAGGGTCCTGCCTGAGAGGAGCTGGAGCGGCTGGCCGGTCTCCCAGCGCCCCTCCCAGCCTGGCTCCCTGTGCTCTCTCTCAGCCGCATCAACGAGAAGTCTGTGTGGTGCTGCGGCTGGCTGCCCTGCACACCACTGCGCATCGCGGCCACTGCAGGCCACGGGGACTGCGTGGACTTCCTGATCCGGAAGGGGGCTGAGGTGGACCTGGTGGACGTGAAGGGACAGACGGCCCTGTACGTGGCCGTGGTGAACGGGCACCTGGAGAGCGCCCAGATCCTTCTGGAAGCCGGCGCCGACCCCAATGGAAGCCGGCACCACCGCAGCACCCCTGTCTACCACGCCTCCCGGGTGGGCAGGGCAGACATCCTGAAGGCCCTCATCAGGTCAGTACCACAGGGGCCGGGCCACCGTTGCCCTTGCGATGGCCACCACGGGGAGCGTGGCCGTATCAGCACGTTCTCGCAGCCACATTCTCATTTCTTGTTTTCTGCATTTGCCTTTTTTTCCTCTCTCTCTCTCTCCAATTAGACTTGTTAGAGGATTTGTCTATTTTGTTAGTCTTTCTAAAGAGCTGCTTCTTAGCTTTATCAGTTCTCTTATTTTTTTACTTACTGATTAATTTCTGTTTTTATCTTTATTTTTTCCCATTTTCCTTAATTTTACTTAATATTTTCCCTAACTTTCTGAGTTGCATGCTTATTCATTTTTTTTCTTGATTAATAATGTAAACTTTCAAGGTTATGAATTTACCTTTGCCTATAGCTTTGGCTGTGTCTGCTAAGCTTTTTTCTTTTTCTTTTTCTTTTTTTTTTTTTTTGCAGTACGCCGGCCTCTCACTGTTGTGGCCTCTCCCGTTGCGGAGCACAGGCTCCGGACGCGCAGGCTCAGCGGCCATGGCTCACGGGCCCAGCCGCTCCGCGGCATGTGGGATCTTCCCGGACCGGGGCACGAACCCGCGTCCCCTGCATCGGCAGGCGGACTCTCAACCACTGCGCCACCAGGGAAGCCCTTCTTTGGGCTTTTTAAAAATTATTTTTTAATGTCCAACTACGTTATTGTGGATACTTGTAACAAAGTATATAACCACAGGGTATTATTTGTATCGTACAAGATGACAGCCTCAGTTATGTTATTCAGACTTCCTCTCTCTTTTTTTTTTACATCTTTAACCATTGGATCTTCCCCAAATTCAGAGAAGTCTGTTAGTCTGTAATTACTGTTGTGATTTTCAGTTTCCCCTTGTATTTCTAATAATTTTGCTTACCATATTTTGATGCTCATTGGGCTCATGAAAGTTCTTGCTTATGGATTGTGCCCTTTATCAAACCAAAAGGAAACCATTGGTTTCATTGAGGGCTCATTTATGTAGCATTCTGTAACTTTTAGTTTTCATCTTAGTGGGTTTAAGTAATTCTTTGTGAGCTCACTTTTACTGTTTGACTGTCTGGGGTTCTTTTGTTTTTTTAGGTGATACAAATGAACTTTTATTTCACACTTCAGGAAGTGGATAGTCTCCGAGAGCTGCAAAATGGGGTGAAAAGCAAGAAGCTTTTGTAGGATAAAGGGATTCTTTGTTTTTTAATACAGTTAACATTGTTGCCATAGCTGATGTTAGGTCTATTACTGTTGTCTTTCTGTGTCTTAACTGTACCTTTATTTTATATCTTTTTTCCATGATCTGTGTTTTCTTTGCTTTCCCTTTCTGTGGTTTTAGACGGTTTCTGGTCTTCTTTTAATTGTACTAACGGTTACCTTTTTAAAAATTTGAGCCAGATTGCATTTTCAGTCTCATGTCTCCAGTGACTTCTTTCTACTAAAGATGCTTCCCTGCCCAGCAGCCCCCGCCACCCCCACCACCGCCCCCCGGCTCTGGAGGCTGTTTGTTCTGTGGCTGGACTGAGTACAGTTCAGGTAGCCCGTTGTCGGTGTGGGAAAGTATTACAGGAGAGGGTTACAGCATTGTTACGGGCTGCATTGGGGGTGTTCTGAGGAGCAGGGACCTGGCGTCCCCCTCGCCCAGTGCAGGACATGGTTTTTTAAATTAGGTACTGAGAATATATTTATTATATCAAAAGGATTTATATATTAAATGGCTATGGAATTGAGTTTTGGAAAGATAATTGAGGATGATATGGTGGTTATACTGGAGGGTGATGAAGACGTGATGATGCTTTTTTCCCCTTCTTTTGAAGGATTTCTAGCCTGATAATCTAAATCACCTCAGTCCCGTATCTTTGCATCTTGGAGAATGTAAGTCATTAATTTGGAAATGTTTTTCGGTAGGATCAATCCATGAAATTTCATCTTGGTTCCAGAAATCCCATAGGGCATTTCAGTCAATTCATGATGCGCAACTGCTTTGAATTAACTGCAGGCTTGACTTTCAGATATATTTACAGGTGCCCTTCTTGAGGAAACGTTACTAAGACATTTTGCTGCCCCGCTGGAGTACAGGACATTACTTTTACAGTGAGGTACCAAGAGCATATATTATTCTGTTGAAAAGTTTTCTGGATTCTAAATTACCAGATAATTGACTTTTGGAAAATGGGGTTAAGTTACTGAACAGCTAATACAATCTAAACACAATCTAAACGCAACTCCTGCCTTCCCTGTGTCATTGTCCCTCATAGGCAGGGCTCTCTTCTGTCACTGTTGTGATCTGGTGTCCCTCTGCAAGTAACCTCCATTTTGTTACTTCTCATTTCCCTTGATATATATTACTGATGTTTTTTGAAAAAGGTAAGGAGTGGTATTTCTGTATGTGCAAAAGTTATACTGATTTATTGAGTCGTCCCGGTGGTTCCTTGCCAGTGATACTAAAAGCAGTAGGGGAATTTTGGAAAATATTCAGGATTAAAATGAACTGGATCCCATCCATTATATTTTTATGAGTGGATGAAGGACTGTCTTTCCCACAGCTCAGCTAATACCAGATTGTCATATTGCCCCAGATTACAAACATTCTAGAAGACATATCCGTAAGAGTAAGGAGGCAAAACAATGTCACTGCTTGAAGTCTAGTTCTCTTAATTGGTTGAGTGTGTGAAATGAAATATCGGCTTCTGCTTGGTTTGGTATGTGTTTTAGAATGTTCCTCTTGTCACTCCTAGGGTATCATGGAGAACATTGGGTGATACTTGCATTTGTAGTGGCTGACGATGCTGCATGGCGTCATTGGGAAGCGGGTTGTCATGGGAGCTCATTGGTCTGTGTGCTGTCCTTTGTCTTCCTCAGCTCTGTGCTGCTGACAGGCAGCAGTGTCGCTTCTAGGGGCACGTTCCTTCGGATGCTTGCAGTAGTGCTGAAGAGACGGGTGATAAAACGTGATTGCTGGCTGTGAGTGTCGGCCAGCTATTTCCATTAAGGCATGGAAAACGATGCTCTCCCCTCCGCCCGGGCCCCTGCGTGTCAGGCCCCATCATCATTACTGCCTACATTTTGTCATTTCCTAATTCAGCTGAAATATGTGATGACAAAATGTGTGAGGCACTGCAGCACTGTCTAGGGCAGTGGACGCTCGAGTACACAGGTGCTGGCTAATGTTTACTCACGGAAGAGTTGGGTAACGCCTTTTGGGCAGCAGTCTCACAGAAGTGGGGCTGTGCTCTTCTCATTACATCCTCTCAGGCTGCACATGTTTTCAGTTGGTCCCAGTACTGCTGATGTTCACTTTCATCTTTTGGTTAAGGTGGCGTCTGCCAGCTTTTTCCATTGTAAAGCTCCTCTTTTTCCCTCTGTGATTAAAAAATATTTTTGTGGCTCGGTACTTTGGAACCATGTATATATCCTTTGGAACCATGTATATATATATATATATATATATATATATATATATATATATATATATATATAAAACCACGTATATATCCTGTTCCTCATCAGATTTTTAATTTATTCATTTATTTATGTTAGACTCATGGTTTCCTGTGGAGTTACAATTATTCTAGGCTCTTGTGTACTTTGCCTGGTTCATCCCTGGAATTAGTCATTTCTCCAAGGAATCCTGGTTTCTTTTTGTGGCGAGTGCTATTTAAAAGCCAAGATGTGGACACTAGGAGCGCTTATTGTTTTCAGCTTCTCCTACTGGACAGAGCTAAGGTTACTTAAACATGTTTCTGTCTACATTTCTGTATCTATTATACATTGACAGTTAAAGAGTTCACCCTGATGCCTCTAATCCAGTCCCTCAGGGTTCATCCTACTTTTCTCCCTTTCCAAATTTATTATTCTTTTGCAACATTGAGGGATGTGGTTCCCTTACCTTTAACATGTTAACTTACTTTGCCAATCCCCCATATTGAACCAGTCTCCTGTGCTGCTGCCCCTCCCACACATGCCTCCTCCCCCGCCGCGGGCTGTAGCACCCTTGCAAGGCAGCATCCTTAGAAGCACCCTCTTCACTCGGCCGGGACTCCAACAGCTTGAGCAGGCCGCCCTCCCTGCTGTAGTCAGCGGCCCCCGCTTAGTGTAAAATGACCCAGTTGGTAGTTTGTGCTTGGCCTGGGAGAACCCTAAATGTCCCATAGAAAGCCATGTATTTGGGCGTCCTTGGGTGCAAGGACAAGGGCAGGTCCCTTGAGGGGATCCTGAAGGCTCTGCCTGTAGAGTCGTTTAGAGATTGGCTCTGGTGGAAAAGGAGGCTTCCAGGTCAGGCGGCCCCTGCATTGGCCTGTGTGAGATTCATCCTCACATCTGGGTTGTCTCTGGGAGTCAGAAGAGGAGAGCTCCTGGGCAGCCATACAAATCAGCTCAGGGACTGTCATCAACGCTCCCACCTCGGGCGGCTGCGCGAGGCTGCCTTGCTGTGCATCCTGTCCTGGGTCCTTCTAGGTGAATCTGATGCTGGGAATGGGCTGGCTCCTCTGGAGGTTCAGTGTGCCTGAAAAGAAGAGCCACCCTGGCGGGCAGGACATGATGGCACCAACTGGGTACACAGTTGGGTTAAAGTATTTCTTTTTGCTTGCAGTTTTTAAGGATTGCTGTTTAATTTTTTTTTTTCTTTTTTTTTTAATGTATGCAGACCTCTCACTGTTGGGGCCTCTCCCGTTGCAGAGCACAGGCTCCGGAAGCGCAGGCTCAGTGGCCATGGCTCACGGGCCCAGCCGCTCTGCGGCATGTGGGATCTTCCCGGACCGGGGCATGAACCCGTGTCCCCTGCATCAGCAGGCGGACTCTCAACCACTGCACCACCAGGGAAACCCCTAATTTTTTATAGTATGTATTTACATGGTTCCAAAGTCAAATCTATAAAACAAAGTATATTAAAAGCAGCCTAGCTTCTATCCTCATCTTCTTCATCCCTGCCCTATAGATAACCATTTAAAAAGTTTTGTGGTTTATCCTTCCATCATTAAAAAATAGGTAGGTATGTGTCTAGGTGTGTGTCATGTACACATTGGTATCGCAGCCTCCTCCCCAGGATAAACAGTGGCATACTTCACGTTCATCGTCCTGCTTTTCTCACTTATCAGGGTGTCCTGGAGGTCACTGCAGAGCAGTCCTTAGCCCTGGTCCTCATTCCTTTTCAGATGGTACAGTGCTCCTTTATGTGGATGGGCCAGGCCCTCTTGACGAACCTGTGGCTCGTTTCCTGCCTTTGGCTATTACGGGTACTGTTTTAATGAATTGCCTTGTATATGCATCTTTTCAGAGTTTTGCAAATGTGTCTTGGGACTAGATTCCAGGAGTTGTGATTGGTGCGTCAGAGGGTACATGCATAGGTAAGTTTGCCAGCTATCACCAGATTTCCCTCTACAGGGATTGCTGCATTATGCCTGGCCCCCAGCGATGAATAAGACTTCCTTTTTCTTTAAAGCTTGGTCAATAAGTTTTTGAATTTTTCCCAATGGGATAGGTGAGAAGTGGTGTCTCCGAGTAGTTTTAATTTGCATTTCTGTTATGAGTGAGGCTGAGCATCTTTTCATCTGGTTGAGAGCTGTTTGCACGTGTCTATATCCATCTCTGGCTCATTTATCTATAGAGCTGTTGATCTTTTCCTTTTAGAAGGTCTTTATATATTAAGGATGTAACATTTCCCAATTTGTAACTTATTGTTTTACTTTACTTATGTTAAAAAAGCTTTGTTTTTGTATCTTTTCCTGATCTTCCAAATCAACTTTATAATCAACTTATGTAGCTCCAGGGATGTTATTTTTATGTATTTACATTTATAGTCAACTTACTTGGTTCTGGGGAGGGTATTTTCATTTATATAATAAACTTAGGGAAAATGACATCTTAATGATATTGAGTCGTCTTGTCTAAGACTACGGTATGTCTTTCTATTTCCTTAGGTCTACTTATGTGACTTTCAGTAGTAGTTTATAATTTTACTCATGCAAATTTTGGACATATACTGTTAAGTTTATGCTTAGATATCTCACTTTAAAATTTATTTTGCTATCAGAAATGAGGTCTTTTTCATTTTATCTTTCAACTTGTTTTTGTTTGTATATAGAAGGCTGTTGGTTTAAAACTTGCTACTTCAATAAATTCTCTCATTGCTGGTTAACTGCATTTTCATTAATTATTTAAGGCTTTTCAGACAGTTATATTCTCTGTAAATAGGGAAAGTTTTACCTCTTCCTTTCCAATTTTAGTCAGCTAATTGCTTTCTCTTGTCTAATTGCACTAGTACTTAAAAAAAAAAAGAGTCTTTAAAACGAGTGGGCTGGAAAGTGGGGCTGTGTACCTTGCTCCCGGCAGAGCTGCTGCTTGTGTTTCCCTGCTAGGCGAGAGGCTGACTTCTGGGTTGAGGAAATATTTTTTATCATGTTAAGGAAATATCCCTTACTTTCTTTTTTATTAAGTATTTGCAAACATGCTTAAGTGTTGAGTTTTGTTATATGCCTTTTTTTTTTTGCATCTATGGAGATAATCATGGATTTTCCCCTTAGTTCTATGAGTATGATGGATTATGTTAATAGTTTCTAATTTAAGAACTACCCCCTGGAATAACCCCCACGAGGCCATTGTATGTTGCTTTCTTAATGTTTTTAGATTCTCTTTGCTAACGTTTTATTGGAGGTTGTTAAGTTGATATTCATAAGTGCAGTTAGTTGGTAGTTTTTCTTTATGGTGTGGCCTTTGTCAGGTTTGGAGATTATTGTTTTGTTAATTTCATAAGCTGAATTTGGAAGTTTTCCTTCTTTTTCTTTGCTTTGAAATAGTTAAAATAGCCATGGGATTGTTGGATCTTCAAAGGTTTGAAAGAACTCCCTTACGAGTTCTTTTGCGTGAGTGGATTCCAAGGTTCCTAACTACCGTGGAACCTGCTGGTGGTCACGGGACCACTGTGACTGGGGGGCTCTCCGGTGCTCCCAGCGCTCCTGCAGTTCGGGCCCATCTCCACCGGGTGCCGTGGGGATGCGTTGACTGCGGTTGGCCTGCTGTGAGGCCTCACTGTCCGTGTGTCTACCCTGCAGGTACGGGGCCGATGTCGATGTCAACCACCACCTGACTCCTGACGTCCAGCCCCCTTTCTCCCGGCGGCTCACCTCCTTGGTGGTCTGCCCCCTGTACATCAGTGCAGCCTACCACAACCTCCAGTGCTTCAAGCTGCTCCTGCAGGCTGGGGCAAACCCGGACTTCAACTGCAATGGCCCCGTCAATACGCAGGGCTTCTACAGGGGCTCCCCCGGCTGCGTCATGGATGCTGTCCTGCGTCACGGCTGTGAGGCGGCCTTCGTTAGCCTGCTTGTGGAGTTCGGAGCCAACCTGAACCTGGTGAAGTGGGAATCCTTGGGCCCAGAGTCGAGAGGCAGAAGGAAGGTAGACCCTGAGGCTCTGCAGGTCTTTAAAGAGGCCAGAAGTAAGTGGCCTTAGTTGAACTCTGACTGGCAGTCTCTTCAAGTCAATTGAATGAACCAAGTTGTAGCAATTTAAAAAAAAAACAACCTCCAACTAAGCACTTGGTCACAACCTTCAGTGAGGACTAGGAATTTTCTAGAATGGTCTACCAGATTGGTCTTCTCTTTTTAAATTCCCAGACACTAAGATTTAATACCAAGAAACCTATCAAAGTGCATGTTCTCAGAGCTCCTAGAATTATGTTCTCTTTACCCCTTTGCGCTGCTTTGTGATCCCAGATTCTTTCACTGCTGTTTATGGCTTTTAAGTGTTTGCTTTACAACAAATCGCAAGCCCTTCCTTCTCTAGGGCGCCTCACGTCCCCTTCTTCAGTTCCACTCAAATACCATTGTTCTGCATTGTGTGCTAAGTATGATTTTTGTTAGAATGAGGTCTACAGTTTGCTTATTCATGAAGAAGGATTTTGCCAGTGAATTAAGTTGATGGCCAGAGAGTTTGCAGTTGAACCGTGGCTTGGTACTTGTTGTCGTTCTCTCTCCAGGACTCAGAAGTTGACCCTGTGCACCCTCTGACCTGCCCACACCCTGCCCCTTTCCCGTCTGGGTCTTGAGGGCATCTGAGTGACCACCTTTTCCCCAGTCCCTTACCTGTCGCAGAACTTATGTTTGTTGTGTTCTTGTCACTGGCTTTCCTCAAACCAGTCATTAAAGCATGGTCCTGTTGAGCCTTCCCCAAAAGAGTTGCTTGCTGGTCAGTTGGAGCCACACCGACAGAGTTAGGCTCCCTGTGTTCATGCCTGTTTCACAGGCAGAGACATGGCGAGGCTGTTTTGACCCAGAGCAAAATTGTCAGCCTGCCCTCCTCCTGTGTTGCTCGGCCCGTCCCCTTCAGACCCCCTTGGAGCTTCTGGGAGGGACCAAGAGCAGAGACTGACAGAGGGCAGTTTGTCACACCTGCTGGGGCGTGCAGTGGCCAGCTCTGTTTCTCTGTCTAGGGAGTTCCACAGAGTTGAGCAGATAACAAGACCTTTCTCACCAGGGCCTGCTCTCCTCTGGAGGTGGGAAGTGGCAGCGAGCGTTGGCGCAGCTCCGCTTGTCCTCACAGCCAGCCTTTGGTCTGTAGGGTTAGGAGAGGCATTTAACCTCTCCCTCTGTCTCTCCCTTTCTTCCCATGCGTTCCAGGTGTCCCCAGGACCTTGCTGAATCTGTGCCGCGTGGCCGTGAGAAGAGCGCTTGGCAAATACCGACTCCATCTGATTCCCTCGCTGCCTCTGCCAGACCCCATAAAAAAGTTTCTGCTGTATGAGCAGAATTCACGAGCAGTGGTTGACTGCAGTGAGGAGGAAGCAATCTCCAGAGCCAGTCGACACCGATTCTTGCCCCTGTGACCACGTCCTGTGCTGCTGACTAAATCCCACCTGGCTGTTGGTGAAGCGGAATCAGCCTTGTCCTCATGGATTGTATTCCATCTCAGGTGCTTGGGGCGTCGGACAGTCCTTAGGTCGGTATCAGCCGAAAGGCTCGTACAAAATTAATTTTGTTCTTCCTCAATGTCTGTGTTTTGGAAATTAATGAAATGGGCCTTGAAATGTGAGCAAGTTCGGGCTGAGCTTGGAGGCCTGCTGACTTCCCCAGGAGGGGGAACTATCACCTTGCAGGGCTGTGCTGCTGCGTTTGCCTCTCAGCTTGATTAACGCGAAATGAAAAGGAGTCTTGCTATAAAAGTACAGAGATGCACTTCCTGAACTTACCAGTTTGTTTCCCGTGCTCCTGGGGTAGACGTGTGACATTATCACACGCACCCCGTTTCCTTGCCGCTTCACTGTTCTCTCCTTGTGGCGGAGGCGTCATATTAATTGTCTTCATTCAAGGATGGTTTCCTGGCCACGTGGATTGGCTTTACTGCCTCAAAGTCAATACCTGCATTTGTTCACAGCCTCTTTAGGTAACGCTCAGAGTTCTGCAACGCTGCACCTGTCTGATACCTACCTGTGCCTAGCATCATGCCAACAGGTCTCATGAGTTCTCTGCCATTTCACTTTGGGGAGCTTCCAGACAGTTGATTGATTTTAGGAGGCCAACGCTGAAATAGCCAGTAATTGACTGCCTACATTCGGACCAAGGACTGTCCAACAGCATTCACTGCCAGTTCTAAAAGAGGAGGATGCCTGCGGCGCTGTCTTCTCGTCCTTGCACATACCAGAAAGTGCAAACTTCAGTCATCTTCTGGATGGTTCGAAGCTTTCGGTTGCTTTGTGTTCAGTGGACAAAACATCTGCTGTTTGGTTGATTGATCTTCACTTTTTTGGACCTAATTGTCTTGGTAGTTGCTCCTAGAACCGAAGAAGGGGATAGCAGTGAGGTCAGAGGGCTTCCCCTGGCCTGCTGGGGGTGGTGAGAAGTGAGAGGAATGAGCTGGCTTGTCACCTGACGGACGGCTCGGCTGTGGGCAGGGCTCACTCACACCTGGGCTGCGTGGCCAGGTGTGTGGCCATGTCGGCACAGGTGGGCCAGCGGCTGCCTCTTTAGAGCATCCAGGTGCTGCTGTTTCCAGGGAAATCACATCTGGTAATTTGAGGCCTCAGGGCCATTGTGTGGATCCATGGTGATTCTGACCTTTAGAAGTGTTTAGAAACGGGCAGCTTTCAAATCTGAGTTTGGATTTTCTGCAATAAGAGAAATCTAATTTGTAACAATTGAACTAATGATAGGGGTTTATTTAATTATTAGCGTCATTATGTGTCTTCACCGACCAGACAGGCAGTGTCTGGTCATTGTCTTCTGTGGCTCGAGGATGGAATTCTGAACTCCACCTCCTGTGTCATGGATGGACGTGTGTTGGAAAGCCAGGCTGGCCCGTATATGTACATATGAGGTCTGAGGGGGGGCCGTCGATGATTTGGGGGGGCCAACGTAGCCGCTGGAGGCTTCACCTCATTACAAGCGGTGGCCAAGGCGTAAGTGTTGGATGGCTTCTGAGGCCCGAGACCGGGCTGTGTGCTGCTCCTCAGGACGGGGAGCCTGCTTGGCTGGTCGCATTCAGAGCTCGGAGTCAGGAGAGGCTTCCTGAGAGGAGAGGAGCTGCAGGTGGGCGGCCGATGTGGCCCTTTGCAGCCGGAGCTGAGTGCTGCAGGGCTTCAGCCCAGGCCGGGGATCAGCTGCGTTCCTGTGGCACGTGTGGGGGGACCACACCAGAGCTGGGCTGCGGCTGGGCCAGGAGCTGCGGGGAGCTGGGGCTCTGCCTGCACTTAGGGAAGGGTTGTGTGGAAGCTCGAGCCACCCAGAGGTGGGCTGGGCCGCTGGAGGGGGCTTCGTGTCACTGGGGGTGTGTCAATGCTGGCTTGTCACCTCCGTGGGCGGGCTGAGAGAGGTGTATCAGGAGTGGTTAGCTCCCCTTACTTTTTTTTTTTTTAAGAAGATGTTGGGGGTAGGAGTTTATTAATTAATTAATTTATTTTTGCTGTGTTGGGTCTTCATTTCTGTGCGAGGACTATCTCTAGTTGTGGCAAGCGGGGGCCGCTCTTCATCGCGGTGCGCGGGCCTCTCACTATCGCGGCCTCTCTTGTTGCGGAGCACAGGCTCCAGACGCGCAGGCTCAGTAGTTGTGGCTCACGGGCCTAGCCTCTCCGCGGCATGTGGGATCCTCCCAGACCAGGGCTCAAACCCGTGTCCCCTGCATTAGCAGGCAGATTCTCAACCACTGCGCCACCAGGGAAGCCCCTCCCCTTACTTTTAAGCTGTTGCAGCTGCCCTTTGGCTCGGAGTCCCTGCGGGTGAGCCTTGCTGCAGGCTCGCAGGACATTCTGAGTTTGCCCTGCTTGGTGTTTTCTTCAGGGGTCTGTTAGGGACAGAGCCTCCCCAGCCCAGCCCTGGGTAGGAGGGTGTCTCTGTTCTCAGACCTTCTGGAAAGCTGCATCTGGGAATGCTGCCAGTGCGGGGGTCCCAGCCATGCCGGTGCGACCTTGGGGCTGCACCAGCAGAGTGGGTGTCAGCCTCCTTTGCAGGTGAAGTGAGTACAGGGCTTGCTTCTGGGGGTTGGAACCATTTTTCTGGGATCTCTCTGGAAGGAGCGGACTGAGTCGATGCTCATTGTTGGGCCTGGCCCAGAGCTGGCCGGGGAGGCAGTGGGACTGGGGAGAGGTTGAGCTGGGGAGTGGGGCCCCCGAGCATGCTGTGCTCAGGGCCGGTCCGCAGGGGCCAGGGCCTCAGCTCTTCCTTTGCAGAGACAGGTTGGCTTTCTCTTTGTGCAGCCAACTTTTAGAGGTTTTTTCACAATCCCAGCAACTTCGAGGTTCAGGCTCTAGTCTGACGTTTCACAGCTGCCAGACCTGAATCTGAACACAAAGTAGATAGCTGCTTAAGGCCATTCCTGCTTGTTTTGAGTGACGCTTTGCTAAAGCTCCCTTTTTCTTTTGTTGGCAGGGATAGGATCCAGAATAGGCAAGAGTAACTCTCTCCATCAGAGCACTTTATAAAATCATGTTTCTGAGCCCTGGGCCCCCAGCCCCACACAGCCAGGAAATGTGGTGGTACTTAATGAGGCTGTGGCCCCAGAGCCCTCCGCAGGGAGGGGCATGATGCACCAATGGGAAGGAGCCCGAGGTCCCCCCAGCCTGGTCCCGGGAGTGTCCTGCTGTTGTCCCCGCTGGGGCGCCTGCCGGCCACTGAACGGAGTCCTGTGCCTGGGCCTTGGCTGCTGCGGGCAGGGGGGGGGGGGGGGGGGGGGGGGGGGGGTGTGGTGGGGGCAGCGCTGACACCTCTGAGAACCTCTGAGAATTCAGCTGTGGCATCCTGGGTGGCGTTTCTGCATGTATTTCCAGAACCCATCAGTGTCATACATATCTGTGCCTTTTCATATTACTTATGCTCTTTGTGTATTTATTTACTTATGTATGCCCTACCTTGTTCCAGAAAAGGGTTTAAGGCAGTGATGCTTATTTTTTGATGTTCTCTTTTGACATTTGCTAAGTTGTAGTCAACATGCGCTTGTTGTTAAACAGGTAGTTTTAAAAAAGGAAAGGACAGTTAGCAGTTTCCTGATGTTGAATATGTTTCTGTTACCAGGCCTGAGTGCCATCATTTTAATTTTTTCCTCTTGCTTCCATGAATTGATTCTTCAAATAAAAGGTTCATGCATAAATAGAAAGAGAGGAACTTGCAGCCAAGGTCAGGCTGAGCAAAGGAAAATCGGCCCTAGAGAGAAGCGCTCTCCTGTGCTTGCTGCCTCCTGCCTGGCCTTGAGCAGGTCCTCTTCCCAGGGAGGCTGCTCTCTTACACGGGCCGGGTCTGGCCGTGCCTTTCCCATGGAGCTTTTGGGAGGACACATGAGAGAATGTATGTGAAAGCACTTTGCACTTAAGCCATCCCTGCGACGTGTACACTGCTGTCCTTGTGAGTGTGGTCCCTCTTCTCAGTGGATGGGTCTTCGAGGCCATGATGGTGCTGGGACAGCCTGTGATCTTGGTGGTCGGCTGGGCTTGTGCCCCAGGGGGCAGCAAGAGTCACGGCGCCCACGGCATAGGCCTCCTGTGCAGGTCGAAGTACAAGGACACATGTTAAATGATATAGGAAGTCAAGTTCATTCAATTTAAAGGGTTGTCTTTTATTCTGAGATTACGTCCTTCCTAATTTGGGTGATAAAATGTCCTCTTATATAATGAAGGTGATACTAGAGGGCAATATTTTCATTTTAAAATGCTCCTGGTTGCAGAATAAAACGTCGGCTGCCCTTTTGTCAAAGCACAGAATTTCTTATTGAGTTTGCCTGTCTCTGAAATCCAGCGTCGGGGACCCGCAGTCTCGCTACAGTGTATGTTTACGTGCCGAGGAATTTCTCTCGGAGTCTTGAAACAGCCTGTACGTGGTTGAAGGAGAGCCCAGCGTCTGTTCTGCCTGGTAGTCCAAGAACAAGCCCTGAGATCACTGTGTGAGCTGTTAGGAAGTGCGTGCTTGTGTCCTGCCCACGGCAGAGCAACGACCCTGGGGTGATGGGCCTCTGGCCTCCCCAAATCCCCTGAGAGACACTCCCGGGAGGTTTGTGTGGCCTCCTCAGCGAGGCTGCCCCTGACCTCAGGCCTGGGCACCTGAGACACCCCCGAGTGATGGCGCTAGCGCTGGTGGTGAGCCTTCTGGCACCAGGGCTGCTGGCTTCTGCTTGTGCCCCTCTCAGCCGCCTGCCACTCAGCGGCCAGTCCCGAGTGGTCTGGATTCCCCGCCAGCTTGGAAGTGCCTCATCTGGCCCCATGACCTCTCTCTCCCTCGCTCGCTTATGCCTCACTTCCCTCCTCATCCCCCGCCCCCAGCCTGACTCTCTTGATGTGGAATAAAATAACTGATGTGCACACATGAGTGGTTAGTGGGATCATGTCCTAGGAGAATTCCACGGGGGGGACGTGCAGAGTTTGAAGTGCGGTGGCGTGCGGAATATATGCTATAAATTCTAGGAAGACAGTTGGATGGAAAAGAGAGGCGGGGGGGAAGGGTGACTTCTGTTGCCTTAACTTGTAATCGCTCAGTGTCTGGAATGCATGGGGAGCTTTTCTTTTTTAAGTTGCTTGGATTTCAGATCTCTCCCAAGTGACGTATGCGTGTGCATCCATGCAGTTTAGTGTGGTATTTGTGGGCACGGCTCTCCTGTGTATAACATCAGTTTGCTGCTGTGATTTAGCCAGCAGTGCCCCTGCTCCGCCCCGCGTGTTTGCACAGCTCCCGCTGCTTCTGTTTGGTGTCGGGCACGTGAGGTGTGACACACGCTGGGGCCCGTGTGCCTGCACGCATGCTGAAGGGGAATGCTGACCGTCAGCCCTCAGCTTCTCCTTCCTCCTCTGGTCATGACTGCGTGCTTGCCCGCAGCAGCTGGGACCATGACTGTTCTTTGCACTTGTGCCTGGTTAAGAGCTTTCAGAAATACAATGGACATCTTTGATATGTTATTGTAACTTTAGTAAATGCTTTAGTCCCCTTTAATTCCCCCCAATGCCTTAATTTTGTGGACTGTTTATCTCATTGGATAGAAGAATTGACCATGTGAAATCTTTGTACATGAACTTCAGGTAGAAGAAGCTGGCTCTCTGGAGAGTTCCTAATTCGCAGAGAAGGGCTTATCTAACACAGGAGTTTTAAACTGCTCTGGGGGACCCTGGTGCTCTAGGGAGGCACCCAAAATGTTGCACAGGTTTAAATTGATGGATGAGCCTGTTTTACTTGATGGGGTTTCTAGTTTGAAGAGAGTGTGCTCCTAAAAGTGTTTGAAACACATGGCTTTCAATCAGGGTGACACTGTCCCTACAGTGCTCTGTCGGGTGGGGAGGTGGTGGAGACTGCGGGCCCCTGTTCTTTGTGACTTAGTTTGAAAGTGGGAGGGTGAGGTGTGAAGCTTTGGGAGTTTGAAAGTGGGAGGGTGAGGTGTGAAGCTTTGGGAATGAATGAACTAAATAAAGCATTTATTCATCTCTCAGTGACTCCCTGGCATGTCTCTCTGTTTGCTGTTTCAGATGTTTTCTTTGTTCCTCACACCAATGCCCAACCCCCTACCCCCATATGTACACTTCTCCTGCTCTACTGAAAGATGGCCTCACTTTCAGTCTACCTCAAAACCAGCTGCATCTGTGTGGCAGAGATTGCTGGTTTTCCTTCATTGTCTCCATCTGTGATAACAGACCCACAGTTCTAGCTGGAGACTTGAATTCTCTGAACAGGTCTTCATTTCCCAGACTTCTTACAGCTCGATGTGGCCATTTACCATAGCTCCTTCCTGAAATCCCATTAAAGTTACAGGGAATTTTAATTTTTTTAAAAGGCATAAATCCACTAGGATGACTATAAATAGCAACAAAATTTTGGAACCTCTCAAGAAAACAGATGAATGGTAACTGACTTAGAAATACCCGAGGAGACAACGTTGTAAAAAAGAAATGAGAGCGTCTGATTTTATTGCAAAGCTCCCAGAGGCTCTGGGATTGGCAGTTCCAGGTGCCTGTAGAAGTGTTTGTGAAAGAGTGAAAGCAGGAGGGCTGGCTGAAGGCCCTTTTCAGGAGCAGTTACAACTCTCCACTCCACACAGTTGAGAAGTTGTTCCTGCCCCAGCCCGGCGGGAGACTGAGGGAGGCGAGACATCGGCCTTCAGTATGTAAAATCCTCAGCTCAGGAAACAGGCTGTATCCTCCAGGCAGGAAATAAAGGAGAAAGAGACTTCTTGAGAGATCTCACCAGCCTAAAAGGAAACACCTAAAGATACCAATACTGAATGTGGCTAAAGAAAATCACACACTTCTAACAGTGGATTCCAGTAAATAATTCAAGAAAATTCTGAGAATGAAGGCTATGTTTCCAAATTGCAAGGACTGGCCAAGTACTAACCACGGCTGGTGACCAGCCAGGGCACATCACTGTGGAATTGCGGAATGCTGGGGAGAAAAGATTCTATAACTTCTGGAGTGGATAAACAGGACACATACAAAGTATCAGGAATCAAAATAGCTTTGGAATCCTCAAATGTCACATTGGATAACAGAGGAATTGGGACCTTTCAGAATTCTGAAGGAAATGCATATAAAAGTCATGCTAAAAAGACCTGTAGTTTCTTTAAAAATGTATGTTCCACACACCCTTTCTTAAGAAACTATTAGAGGATGTACTCTTCCAGAACAAAGGGGTAAACGAAGAAAGGAGAAAACCTGGTATTCAGGAAATGTGGATCCAGCACAAAGAGGCAAGGTGACTCCCAGGAACACAGTGAAAGCCTTGAGGACGACAGCTGTGCATCAGGCACAGAAGGCACCCGATCGAGACTAGATGTGAGGGGCTGAGGCCCCAGAGAAGATGCCTTAATTATTAGAATACCTGTTGTCTCTGAACATGTTTAGATAGGAGTTGGGATTGATTTATTGACAAGTACCTAGGAAACCAAGGGACATAACTCCAAGGAAAACAAAAGGTTGGGCAAGAAAGAAAAAGTGACCACGGTAATACTAGATGCCTCAGCTGTGATTAGTATTTACACAGAGTCCTAATAACATGCACCTACTACCATAAACGCTATTGGGGGGATGGAGGGTGGGGAAGTGTGTGTGGGTGAAAGCTAAATAATAAAGAGCAGAATTCATTACAACCAACAGAGGGCAGCAGCAAAGCCCAAAGCTGCTGCTTTCTAAGGAAAAAATGGACACACCTCCAGGGAGACTAATCAAGACAAAAAGGACATACAAATCACTTAAAAATTTAAAAGGGCAATTTTATAGGTCATATAAAAAGATAAGGGTATATTATAAACAACTTTACGGTAGTAAATGTGAAAATTTAGAGGAAATGGACACATTCCTAGAAAATAGAATTTACCTAATTTATGGAAGTACTCGGACAGCCGCGGGGGCAGCTACTGCCCGAAAGGAAGTGGCATTTGAGTACTTGACGCGGAAATCTTGGCGCGTCTCCTTTAAGAGGAGGTGAAGCCCCGCACCACGTGGGAACGCCATTTCTCAGCGTCCGTTGTGATGTACGTCACGACGTGGAGGGCCAATGAGGACCCGGGAGGTGGGGCGTTCCTGTGCGTGTGGACGAGGTGCGGGCCGGACTTCCGGAACCGTCCTCCTGGGATCCCGTCGGCTCGGGGGTCGGCCCTCAACCGAAGGACCCGAGAGCTGGGTGGGGTGGTCCTGGAGGATTGTCGGCTGGGGCTCCCCTGGCGGCAGGGCCGCGTGGTCTCCGAGGATGTGGCCTGTGCTTCTCCCAGGAGGAGTGGCCCGGCGTCTGATGCGTGGAGGTTGGACGTGGGGGAACTTGGCACCTGCGGCCCGGGGGTGGTCGGTGTGGCGTAGAGCGGGAGGCACCGGCCGAGCGGGGCGCTTTTCTAAGCGCGTCTCAGGTCAGGACGCCTCTCGCAGGTCCGTCTGCTTGGGCGCGTTCCCTGAGATGTGTGGCCCAGGCTGGAAAGACGAGTTGCTCCTGGCTGAGCACCGGGGAGCCGCCGCGGGCAGAAGCTGCAGTGAGGAGGCGTGTGGGAGAGGCTTCGGCCTCAGCGCTCCCGGCCCCAAAGCAGCCGAGTCGAGAGAAACCCAACAGAGGCGGGCAGGGTAGGGCCTCGTGGCGAGGCACTGTGGAGTCCACGTGTCGGAGAAGCCCTTAGTGTGCGGGGAGTTCGGGCCCAGCGCCGGCCTTCTCCAGCACCAGGACGGGGAAGGCCGGCAGGAGCGCCGCAGGCTGGGAGGCCGCTCACCCCGGACTGTATGGCAAGCGGGAGGGAGCCTACGGCCGCCACACCGGGGCAGGTCTGAGTGCAGGTAACCCCCGCCTCTTTCAACGGCGGAGAATCCACGCTGGAGAAGAGCCTTATGAGTGCAGCCACCGTGGGAAGGATGCATTCAGCGAAGGATACACGCTTGTTTGGCACCAGAAGGTTCACAGCAGAAAAGCCTGGGACTTCCCTGGCGGTCCGGTGGTTAGGACTCCGCGCTTCCACTGCAGGGGGCACGGGTTCGATCCCTGGTCGGGGAACTAAGATCCCCGCAAGCCAAAGGGTGCAGCACCGCCCCCGCCCTCCCCCCCCCAAAAAAAGCCTGATGAGTGCAGTAGTATCAGAGAACCTTTAGCGACATCGCTAAGCTCAGTCGGCATCAGACGGTTTATACTAGAGAAAGTCCCTTTGAATGCATGGAATGAAAGCATTTTGCCAAAGGTGTGCTCTGATTTACACTGGAAGTTCACCTACCAGAAAAGTGTTAGGAGTGCAGCAAATGTGGGAAAACCTCCTGCCAAAACGTCAACCTTGTGCTGCATGGAAGTCTGTTGAGTATGTCCAGTGTGAGAAAGCGTTAAGCTGCAGGTCCAACCCCATTCATCCCTGGCAGGTTCACCCTCGAGGAAGACCTCATGGATGCAGAGATGGGGGAAGGGCTTCCACCCAAGAGGCTTTTTCATTTAGCAGCAGAACGTTCGCGGTAGAGAGGCCTGTGAGTGCAGCCGATGTGAGAAAACCTTCAGTCAAGGGCCTCACCTCGTAAAGCATCATGAAGTTCATGCTGGGGAAATGCCCTAAGTGTGCAGGGAACGTGCTCTCTCCTCGTTTAGCGGAACAGGACGCGTGCCAGAGACGAGCTGAGGGAGCCTCTGTGAGGATGCCCTTGGCTGGAAGTTGAGCTTCATAGGGTCAAACGGGATATTCCTGATGAGTGCTAGGTGGGTGGGGAGCTTTCGGGTACTCTCACCTGCCCTGGGGCCCTTGCCAGAGTTCTCTCGCTGGCAGGGCCCATGGCAGAAGCCATCTCACCACTCTGCCAGCTGGGAGGGTCTCGTCACCTGTGCTCGTTCCAGTCCCTGGAGGGACCCATGAGCAGCCTGGGCCTGTTGATGGGCCTCATCTCCTTCCTGACTAGTTAGGGCGTGGGTGTGACCCAGCATTGGCTAGGAGGACCTCAGCTGGGTCCTTTCTGTGGCTCTCAGGGATGGTTTACCTTTTTTCAGGGAACTTGTTGGCCTCATGTGACTCGATGGATTTGTCCAGCTTCCAAGTCAGACTTCCAAGGGAACTGCCTGCCTCCCATTATTCTGCTGGGTGTGGAAATAAAGGCCTTGTTACTGAAGCCACCTTGAACTTGGGGATTTCGGCTTACTGTGTAGGGTGAGTTGAGAACAGGATTGGGGTCTGCCAGCATTAAGGGGTGGGTGGGGGAGGGGAGAGAAAATGACAGGGAAAAACTCTGTCTCCTTTTGGCTTAGTTTGTACTGCTGCCCAAGACCTTCAGGGAGTGACTGAAGCTTAGGGGGCTTAATCCCATGGGCTGGAAGGCAGGATTATTTTGGACACAGAGATCACCCTGAGGAGAGGTGGTTGGTGTGACAGCCCCAGTGCATCTCAGAGCCGTATGAGTTTGGTCCCTTGTATCCAGGGGGTGTCCCGCATTCCCCAGCACTGCTGAGGGGAAGCCTTTTCCCAGCACCTCTCTAGGAGCCTCGTCTCCTGAAGTTAAGAACCCGGTGGGCACGTGTCATTGACCATAAGACCTACAGGGGCCCTGTAGGAGCCATAATTAGTGCAGAAACACTAGGCGTAATAGTAGGGAACAGGGGAGTCTGTGGCAAAGTTAGGGGGCAGTGTGCCCGTTTTAGACACACACTCATAAGTGTGCTGGTAACTCTGGCTCTGAAAAATGAGAGTGTACAGAAATTATCTAGCCCTCCAGACGTGTGTCTCTCCAAGCTTACCGTCAGCAAATAACCTAAAGGTTCTGTAGTGGTTGCACCTGCTCCAGGGCTGAGAGGTTCACTGGGTTACCCTGGGCTGCCGGACCGAGGCTGGTGGGCAGGACACCTGTTGGCGTGCCAGAGAGATTCACTGGGAAGCTGCTTGCATGGGGTTCCGTTGAACCTGGTGGGACACTGGCGGGGGCAGGCTGGACTCCCGGGGAAAGCTGGGAGGCTGCCTGTGGGGAAGTTGAAGTTTCTGGGAAGCCCGTTAGGATACCTGAGGAGCTCAACCGGGAAGCTGCCTGCTGGGTGCCGCTGACCCTGCAGCAGGTATGCTCCACCGGTGTCTCGTATGCCAGCCAGGTGCCTAGGGGGTTAGAAAGAAGGGAAGCACTATGGAACTACGAAGAGAAACCCCCCCCCCTTCCCAGCATCCCTCCAGCACCCTCTCCTGACCAGCTTAACATCGTTCCAGTTCCGGTATCACAGCTGAGCGGTGGAGCTGGGATTTGGGAAGGCTTGGGGGAGGAGTCTCAGACCCAGCCTCCCCTGCAGGCACGGGGTCTGGCCTGTGAGTTTACTTGGGTCTGAGAACCAGGTGAGAGGCAGTTCCTAGCCACAGTTGTGACTCAAGTCAGGGTTTTGGCTCTTAAGCCTAAAGGTTTTTTTGTCCCCCCCCCCACCCCACCCCGTTTTATAGATCAGTCAGTACTCTTAGGAGCACTGTGTTCAGTGAACCACTGTTAAAGATCCCTGGGGACCAAGGTGTTTTGATTGCAGGTACACATCTGCTGTCTTTCTTGGTGGATGCCCCCCCCTTGCCTTTGGTGGTCGATTCCTGCCGTTTGGCCTCTGCTCCTCTGGAATCCCATCATCTCCACTGAAATTGGGGAGCCCACCTCAGCGGCAGCATCCCCACCACCATGCATGCCGTCAAGGAGAACAATCCCGAAGCCTTCCAAGCACGTGAGTGCCCCTCTTACTAAGGGGTTTCTCGGTGCCCTAGTGAAAGGAACATCTTCCGGGTCTTCCGGAAATCCGTAGTTGGGAGGTGGGTGTGCAGGTCACACGGGATGAATCCAGTCCAACATTCCTATCTCCCTAGGCCTTTGGATTCCCTCCTCCATGCCAGGGAAGCTCTGGCATCTCACCCTAGCTAAATGTAGGCCATTTTTGAGGATAAGTCTCAGTCAGACAGTCAGATATGTTGTTTAGAAACACCTCCAGCTGCTCAAGTGAGCGCATTAAATCTGAACTCTAGTCCCTTTACCATCATCCATAAATTTGCCCTGATCTAGTGTTAACGTCCCACCCTCCGTGGTCTAACACCCTTAGAATCCACTTCACATGTGTTTCCCATGTTTCTGGTATATGTTAGAAAAGGCTTGCTCATTTTCTAGGTGGGTTAGCTAGTCTTCCCGGAGCATTGTGTGTTCCTGTCCCACTGGAGCATGCTGTGCTTTGACCTTAGTCACGTGACTGGTGGCAACAGGGGGTAGTTGTGCTGGGTCTTGAGAATAGCTGTCCCTTTTCAAGGCGTCTCCCCTTGGCAAGGGTGTCACCGGATTTTCAAGCAAAGGAAGACGCCACAGACAGATGACCTCTACTGGTGAGGGAGGCTTAGGACAACTTGGGGTTTTAGGCTGGTCAGTTTCCCTGGATCTAACCAAATGTCCCCACCCCAGTTTCATGTTCCCACCCTTTCTCAGTCAGTGCCTGACGTTCCCTTGAGATACTGGTGAGACTGAATCTAGCTGTTCACAAGCAATACAATGAACTTTTCTGTATGACTTTTAGAAATATCAGCCCTGTGACTGCAAGAAAAGAAAGAGGTTCTTTACTGAAGTATTCTGGTTCTCACTATTACTTGTCCTGAGAGTTAAGTCGCCATGACTTGTCATTTTCTCTCTGTGTGCACTCCAGTGCACTTGAAGCTCTATCCCATACCATACCGTACTGCCTGTAGCCATCTTTAATACCATTAAAAAAAAAAAAAAAGGCTCAGTAGCCACAGGTGCTCCGAGTCAACTTGCTTCAGTCAGCACTTCATCACAAGCAACCAAAGGCGATGGCTCGATTAATTCTGATGCTGCTGCATGCGGGCGTGCCACGGATTACTATCTTCCCGTTTCCCAGTGGCAATGAGCTCAACACTGCTTAAGCTCGAAATCACAACAGATCAATTCCCAGATCCCACTTTGCAAGTCCATCTCCTGTGATCACTCCCGGTACCAGTTCTGTATCAGTCAGGGTCCAGTCCAGCATACAGTAACCACACAATAATATGAGCAAGGAAGGTTTGAGGGAAGGATTATTAACTATTTCCAGGGAGAAAAAAGAGCATTCGAAGGAATACCCCAAGGGAGAGGACCCACGGAAGGAACAAATGTGGAAGGCAGGGAGCCCTCCCCAAGGCTGGATTGACACCTTGTTGGAGGTGGTGGTGTTTTAACCCAACAGACAGACGGCAGAAAAGTTCGCAGGGTTGATCTGGGCCAGAGTTGGTCCGTGTGACTGATGGGCAAGAACTCCGAGCTAGTGGAAGGCGGGACCCCCTATCCCCAGCGCCCCCCTCCCCCGCACTGGGGTGCCTACGTGATTCACCTGGAAGCTGCCCTGGGGAAGGGAGGTGCTGTCAACTTGGCTTAGAAGCCTACTGGGTCATGGCTGGGCTTGCTGGTGAGCTGCTGAGAAGCCCTCCAGGGAGTGCCCTTGAACCCTCTGGAAACTGCTTACAGGGCTGCCCCTGAGCTCCCCACCAGGAAGCCACCTCAGGTGCCCTGAAGCTTACTGGGAGGCGAGCTCCTGGGCGCACAGCGCTCCAGCCAAGCACCCGGGGAGCCAGGAGGAAGGAAGGCGCCCAGAGCCAGGAGGAGAAACTTGCTCCTCCAGTGCCCCTCCAGCTCCCTCTAGCGACAGAGCCTGACGTTGCGCCAGCTGCAAGGAAGACGTGGTCTGGACCAGAAGCAGGACAGTGGGAAGTGGGGTCAGGGCTGAGAGGCCACGCGTTTACCACCGGCACAGCCAAAGTCATGTTATGACGCTAGCACACCCTCGATGGCAAAACCCAGCAAAGGCAGCAGGAGGAAAAGAATACTGGTCTGTGTCGCGTGTGCATGGATGCAAAACGCTAAAGAAAACTCAGAAAACTGGATTTAGCAATATATAAACTCTAATGCACTGAGACCACCTTGGGTTTATATTGGTGTCCGCTGGCTCTCTTAACTGCGAAGCACCCAGCTGTGACCAGGTGACCTCATCAGTGGAATGCCGCCTCCAGGCCAAGGCTTTTAGGAAGAGAGCACGTGGGCTCCTGCCCTTCTCTTTCCGCTTCTGCTTCCCGTGCAGGTGATGACGGCCCCTTGGGGATGGAGGGGTTACAAGGTGGTGGCCCGTGAAGAGCTTCCTGCCAATCCAGCCACCGTCCTGGCTAAACAGGTGATAAACTTCTCATGTTTTGAGCTAGTGCCCACTTCGGCATAGGTATGTATGTGTATGTGTGTGTTTTAGCCTTACCTAGCCATATTTATAAGTTACATAGTTCACTGTATTTACAGCTTATTAAGGGATAAAAACGATATGATCATGTTAACAGATGAAGAAAAGGTGTTTAATAAAAACCCCTGGCAACTAGGAGTGGAAGGGAATGTCTTTGTTCTGACACAGGTTATTCATAAAAAACCCACAGCAAGCATTGTAACTAATGGTGAAAAATTTAAAGCTTTACTTTTGAGTTGGGTCCACTAAGGCAATTAGCAACCAAACAAAATAAGCGATATAAGAATTAGAAAGGTGAAAACAGAACTTATTTGACAATGTAAGTGTAGAAAATCCAAAATTACTTACAGGTACATTTTTAGATTAATAAGGAAGTTTTTAAAGTTGTTGAATACATAATCAACTATAAAACCAGTTGCATTCTGTGCACCAAAACCACAAAATTAGAAATTAAGACTTAAAAAGGTGCAATTTACAATGGCATAAAAATCAAGTACACAGGAATATGTATAACAAAAGACATGTAAGAAAACTTTGGGAAACATGAGAGAAGAACTAAATAAGGAGGCTATATAAAAGATGTCAGATTTCTGCACATTGACCTGTAGATTTAATGCAATCCAGATAAATATCCTTACATGTTTCTTTTTGAATTTGAAAAGACAGTTCTAATAATTATATGCCAACCTAAAAGGATGAAGCTAGTCAACAGGTTCTGGAAGAAAAAGGAGATGCTGAGAGATCTTGCTCTACCAGATTTCAAGACTTAGTATAAAGCTAAAGAGAGAGAATGGGGTTATGTACAAGGGGAGACAAATGGCCGGAACAAAGAACCAGAAATAGATCGATGTGTATGTGTTTGTGCTTGATTTATGGTGAAACAGACACTGCAGAACAACGGGAAAAATGGTCTGTTGAATAATAATGTTGGGACAATGGGGATCCATAGTCACACACACACACACACACACACACACACACACACACACACACGAAAATGGATCTCCACATTTCACCATAATAAAAAGTCAATTCCAGGTGCATTTGTTGATAGACACGAGAAAGGCAAAAAAAAAAAAAAAATTGCAGATAAAATAGGGAAATCTTCATGACCTCAGAGTCTTAAAGAGACACAAAATTTGTAAGCCACAAAGAAAAGATTGATAAATTAATCTGCATTAAAATGAAGACGTTCTGTTCATCAAAAGACACTATAAAGTGAATGAAAGACATCACTAAGTGGGAGAAGATATTTGGGATGAGACAAAGGTCTTACATCTAGAATTAAGTAAATAATTTTCTACAAATCAATAAGAAAAGAAGACTGATAACCAAATAGAAAAGACCTGAACAGGAACTTCATAAAAGAGGAAATCCATATGGCCAACAGACACATGAAAAGTGTTCCACTTCAGTAGTAATCATGGAAATGCAAGTGAAAACCGCAGTGGGAATCCAGTACATACCTAACAGATGGGCAGAAAGTCAGGAGTTGTCACTGTTGGTGGAAATGTAAAATGGCACTAGCCCTTTGGAAAACAGTGTGGTAGTTTCTTAAAAAGTTAAACATACACCTACCGTAGGACCCAGGGATTCCACTCCTAGGGATTTACCCCAAAGAAATGAAAACATTTGTCCATACAAAGACTTATATACAAATATTCGTATTTATTCATAATAGTCCCAAATTGGAAAGATCTCAGTATCTATCAAGGAGAGGAGATAAACCGTGGTACACCCATATAATGGAGTACTGCTCAGCATAGAAAGGAACGGACTAGTGATACTGCAACAACATGAACCGTGAAAGCACGCTCAGCGAGAGAAGCCAGACACAAAAGGCCGCATGTTGTATGAGTCCCTTTATATAAAATTTTAGAAAATGCAAACTCTAGTGACAGAAAGCCGCCCAGGCTTGCCTGGCGTGGGGCGGTGGAGTGGCGCAGGACAGGGGGGGTCACCAAGGAGCTTGTGGCTGTGCTCACCGCCTGGAGTGTGGCGACGGGGGGCCCGTGTGTCAGCTCTGTCCATCTGTGCACTCCAAATGTGTGCAGTTGACTGTTAAGTCGGTTTATCCCTCGGTAGAGCTGTTAAAACCAAACCCCTTGTATTCAGTCAGCAAGAAGAAAAGCCACACAGTCCTGGGCCTTTGGCATGATTGGAAAACAGAGTAGTTCAAACTGCCAATTGCTTTTAAGTAAAACCCCACAAGTGTCCAGTGAACCTATTTCTCAAGTTCTGACCGCTGCCCCTGGGGGGTGTTCTGGCCCGCAGGGGGTCCAGGAGGGGTTCCAAGTCCTCCACTTCTAGCTCCATCTGCCGTGCCCTCCCCACTGTGGCTGAGGAGAGAGGCCCTCTCCACTGGGCGCCGTTCTCCTGGGTGTGCAGACGTTCCACTCCCTGTATCTCCACCTGTGGCCTCCCTGCCTCCCCCTCGCTGTTTGTGCCCCTGCCCCTCTTGGGCCTCTGCGTACCACAGTCCCTTGATGCTGGCCACACCCTGACACCTTCAGATGGTCCACGCAGGTCCCTGAAACACCCTTGGCCTCCTAGGATGAGGGCTCTGTCGTGCGTGGGGCGGAGGTGTGTTTGGGGCTCTGGGACGGGACTGGTGTCCCAGGAGGAGGGAAGTGGCTTTTCGAGAGTGTGCAGTCATGAGATTCTGCGGGTTCAGAATGGCTGGGGTGCTGGGGCAGAGGAGCAGGGGCTGAAGCGGGACGGAGCATGAGAGAGCGTGCTGAGGAGATGAGTTTAGATTTTAGCCTGCAGACCCATGTTTCTCAGCGTGTGCCTTTGGGGGCCCCTCCAAGAAACACCAAAGAGGGCTGGCAAATTCATAAAGAAAACCAGTGAGCCGGCATTGATTGCATTCCTTTCACACGTTTGAAGTGTGTGATAGATCATGGTCTTCACAGGCGTCCTGGTCTTAACGGATCGTATCCCGAAGGTTTCACAGGGCTGCATAGCAAGGCTTGTGTTAGCTTCTGGGGGCTACCATCTGGGCAACAGAGTGCAGTTTATCTGGGCTTCGTATTTTCATGGAACTTACCAATTATTGTTTATGCTTAAGTTTTCATCTTAAAAATTCTTTGTTGTGTTGTGATAGCCAGAATAATGGCTCTCCCAAAATGTCCGTGCTCTAATCCCTGAAACCTGTGAATATGTTACCTAGTAGGGCAGAAAGAACTTTGCAGATGGCCTTAAATTAAGGATCTTGCCATGGGGAGATTATCCTGGATTTTCCTCTTATAAGAGGGAGGCAGGAGGGTCAAGGTGGAGCTGAGATGACAAAGCAGAGGCTGGGGTGATGCACCCATGAGCCAAAGAAAGTGAGCCGCCTCGAGAAGCTGGAAAAGGAAGGCAGGGTTTCTGGCCCTTCTTACCTGGGAGAACTCAAAGGGTTAACTCAGAGCTTCTGTATCAAATATTTTTAGTTGATACATGATGGGTTGTGGAAGAATCTCTGTCCCAAGGCCACGTCATCGAATAGTTTGCTTTCGGCTTGGGTTTAGCCTTGATGTGCAGACTGTGAGTCAGCCAGAGACGTGTACTCAGAACATGTCTGAGGAGGGACAATTGGAACTTCTGGTCCTGTTTATTATCGAAAATTTATGCTCCAGGAGGATGGGAGATGTGCTGAAAAAGGTATGTGGGGACCCGTGCTGACAGCAAGTGGCGAGGAGGGCGCTGCTGCGTGGATGGGGGGCCACACTGCCTCCACGCCGGCTTTGTTTGGAGCGGGCAGCCAGCCCTGATGTTGGCCAGGAACTGTGGTGAGCACGTCTCCTGTGTGCTGCAGGCAGGCTTGCAAGGCTGTGTCCTGCACATCGATGTACACGAAGGTCCAGGGCAAGGTGCTTGTGGGTATAAACACATGCACTGATGACACGAGTAAAGCCTATTCATTCCGTGGTTTCAAGTGGCTTATCCTTGGGCCAAGGACAGAGGGCAAATGATTTAACGGGCTTTTTTACATGCATCAGGGACGTGACCCCACTGTGAGCGTTGGGGAATGGCGGCCCCAGCACGAGGACACTGGCTTTGACCCTCCTGGTCGGAGAAGGCCCTGGCTCAGCCTGGCTTTCACCACAAGCGCTGAGGCTCAGGGAGGAGGGGGCGTGGCCGCCGTGGTCACGCCCGCCCGCCCCACGTGGCGCCAGGGACTGAGCCAGGGCCTCAGCTCTGCACATCGGTTTGTGCCTGGATGTCGGTCGCAGTGCCTTTCCGGCCAAAGAAGAGGCCGTTCTTTGGGGAAGTAAGTTGCGGTAGCAACTGGTGTTTTCTGGGGAAACCAGTGCCCTTTGTTCTGAAGGGGCCGCCCATTCATTTGCTGTGTATCCTTGGCCCCTCGTACAGGGCCTGGCTTCTGGTAGGTGCCTCATAAATGCCGGTGAATGATGTATTTCAGCAAAAGTGAAATCATTTTGTGGATTGAAATAGCTTCCGGAGAGCCCCTCGCTGAGACCCTGACGTGCAGGCCGTCTGGCCCCAGGTGACCGTGCACCAGTGGGTCCCCCGAGGCTCCCTCTCCCCCGGATCTCCTATCTGGGGTGTCTGGCTTCATGGTCAGCAGCCTTGGGGAGGGGCATTGGAAACTGCATTTATGGTTTTGAAATCCAAAAGTGATATCCATACTGCTTCAGAAGGAGCGTGGGCCATGCTGTGGTGGGCTGTGGGTTCGAGGGCGGCTCTACAGCACCGAAGGGCCCAGGACATGGGGGAGCTTGAGTTTCACGGCCTATAAAACCCAGATGGGGTGCTAACCTGGTGACGCAGTGGTTGAGAATCCACCTGCCAGTGCAGGGGACACAGGTTCGAGCCCTGGTCTGGGAAGATCCCACATACCGCGGAGCAACTAAGCCTGTGCGCCACAACTACTGAGCCTGCGCTCTACAGCCCACGCACCACAACTGCTGAGCCCGCGTGCCACAACTACTGAAGCCTGTGAGCCCTAGAGCCCATGATCCGCAACAAGAGAAGCCACCGCAATGAGAAGCCCGCACACCATGACGAAGAGTAGCCCCTGCTCGCCGCAACTAGAGAAAGCCTGCGCGCAGTAAGGAAGACCCAACGCAGCCAAAAATAATTAAATAAATTTATTAAAAAAAAAAAAAAAAACCCAGATGGAATTCCAGGTGTGCGAGATAAAACCACACTTAGTGTGCAAGTAATGGCCAGGGTGGGCAACTTGAGGACAGACCTCAAAAAGCCTGGTGGACCAGCGTTGCCAATTTCAGCTCACTCCCACCTCCCCCAGCCGTTGCTATGGCAATGCAGGGAAGACCCCCAGGCCCATGCCCGGCACATGGCAGGGTTCAGAGAACGTTGTGGAAGGGAAGAATCTGCTGAACAGGACTTGGGGGGGTGCACCTTTACCCCTTGCATCACCTCCTGCCCCCCTTCTCCCCTTCCATCTTGTTCCCCGTGGCTTACCCTGGCGGCTCCTGCACCAGCTGGGAGAGCATCCCACCTCCTGTCTGCTCTGCTCCATCCTCCCCCACAGCTGGAAGGAGCTTTCCCGAATGTGGCTCCGCCTCCCACCTGCCCATGTAAATGTCGTCATCTCCAGCTCTGATGTGGCCCCGCTGACCCCACCCCCACCTCCTGGTCACATGGAGCCGCTTCGTTCCCCCCCCCACCCCCAACATGCCATGCTCCTTCTCACAAGCTGTGCTGGAAGCCCTCTTGGGGCTGCCCCCGCCCCAAGATGCCACTTCTGCTGGGAAGCCTTCCCTTCTTTCCCCGCTAAAACAGTGCGCCCTGTGCTCCGCAAGGCCTGTGACCTCACCCCTAAACATTTGTCGTAAGGGTCTGAGTACAGGCTTTGGTCTTCATGTCTGCTCCGTGAATGTGTGTAGATCAGGGCTGGGGGCATATGCTCAGGGAGTCTGCGTTATACAACCCCCCACCGCAGGTGGCCTCTGCAGGGTGGTAGCTCTAAAGCTTTTCGTTTCTTCTGTAGGGTCCCTGGGAGCAGATAAGTTTTACCCTTATGAATGAAAACTTAACCCCCAAACTTCCTCATCTATGGAAATGGGACATTTCTGAGAAGGACTTTATTTATTG